TCGCTTATCAGAGACTGTGTTTGCGATGTGCCGTGTTAAGCTTTTATACATTCTAGGCCATAAGCAAGTGGTAAGGTGACCAGTTATAATCCTCGTGATCTTTGTAAGCATAACATAGTAAAGAAAACGCCATCTTCACAATTTTCATCATTTATTTTCGTTGTTGTCATTCCTATGATTCTGTCTTTAATGAATTCAATAAACACCCGCACTAATGAATCGTTGTTTTTACTTGTTACAATAGCTAAGCCATTTGTGTTGCGCTGTGAAGATCGCTGGATTGGTTTCGGACTCCACAGGTCGGTCCGTCGTTTAGAGCAAGAGAAGATCCTTGAGGTTCGTCACCAAAACTATGGAGGTAAACAGTTGTCGCTTATCAGAGACTGTGTTTGCGATGTGCCGTGTTAAGCTTTTATACATTCTAGGCCACAAGCAAGTGGTAAGGTGACCAGTTATATTCCTCGTGATCTTTGTAAGCATAACATAGTAAAGAAAACGCCATCTTCACAATTTTCATCATTTATTTTCGTTGTTGTCATTCCTATGATTCTGTCTTTAATGAATTCAATAAACACCCGCACTAATGAATCGTTGTTTTTACTTGTTACAAATGTTGTCTTTCTGATGTTCCCGGCTCGACTACGTAATATTGTGCCCTTCTGTATTCTCTTTGGTGTGTAATTCTGCCTTAGTAAGCGTGAAATAAAGCTAAGAGACTTTACTGTTTGTTCTACACCAAGAAGTCTTTGCTTTATGCTTTTTTTTTTTTTTTTTAGAGCTTGTTTGTTTGTTAGTGAATCAATGTTGCTAACACTTCTTTTTTATTGACAACTTTGAGTAGTGCAATAGGTAACAGTGACCAAACAGACAATAAAAGCAAATGTCTGGAGACCCCCTGAGACCACTGACATATCTTTGTAGTCAGATTAGTCATGATGGCTTTGCACTCATAGACTGTCTCTACCTTTACAAGCCGTGTCTGTTTTTTCTTGCCTCGTTTCTTTGAGTAAGAATCAACGCATGCTATTTTTTTTTTTTTAAAGCCCCCTTTTCCCTCACCTGTCATTGCGTCATAGGCTTTAGAAAGGGATTGGGGACAAAATATAAAAAACAATATATGTTTCACAGATTGTATGTTGACCACATAACGTGTTTAGCAAGTAATATATTAAATTTAAAAAAAAAAAAGATATTTATTATATAAAACGTGTAAAACACGCCAACTTCTCGTAACAATCTAGCAGACGGTAATTGTAATCTTATATGCTAAATGTAATGTACAAAACAATCTCGCATTCACTAAGTTTTCCCTTAGTCCATCCTGGCAAGAAACTGGCAATTGTTTGGTGCCCAGTGACTTACAGGTGTATTTAACACCACAGCTTCACCGATTGATGACCACAACTGTAAATTATCGTTTGCAAAAACGAGTATGTCATATAGGGCATGAAATTGGTTTTCCATTATCTCTATTCAGGGGGGAAAAAATATAGCCACTTAGTTCATTATACATTTTGCATTCTGCACTAGAAATATAGTACATTTATCAACTATTTTGTATCTATAATTGTTTTTTTTTTTTAAGTGAATGTTTGTGTGTGTACATTTAGTGGGCGTACCTTCGATTGTTTCCGTCCAGTTCAGGTAATCAAGTAATAAGGAATGTGTTTTATATGCAGTGTATACTAACCGTGGCTGGTATCTTTTCCTATCCTTCACATTCAAACTGCATAAAAGCCAACGTCAGCATAAACGGAAGCCACTCTGCTATTGGTGTGATCATTATCCCGTCGATCACCAAATGGGTGATGAGGACAGTTCCACAAGGCCATGATTTAACAGATGTGGTCAGTATCACAATGACCACTATGTAAGTGATGTCGTCAGAATAACACGGGCCAGGATTAGGTGATAAGGTTAGTATCACACAGACCATCAGGTAAGTGATGTGGTCAGTATCACACAGACCATTAGGTAAGTGATGTGGTCAGTATCACACAGGCCCTCCGGTAAGTGATGTGGTTAGTATCAAACAGGCCATCCGGTAAGTGATGTGGTTAGAGTCAATCAGGCCATCCGTAAGTGATGTGGTCAGTATCACAAGGTCATTAGGTAAGTGATATGGTCAGTATTACACAGGCCCTCAGGTAAGTGATGTGGTCAGTATCACACAGGCCATCGGGTAAGTGATGTGGTCAGTATCACACAGGCCATCAGGTAAGCGATGTGGTCAGTATCACACAGGCCATCCGGTAAGTGATGTGGTCAGTATCACACAGGCCATCCGGTAGCTGATGTGGTCAGTATCACATAGACCATCCGATAAGTGATGTGGTCAGTATCACACAGACCATCAGGCAAGTGATGTGGTCAGTATCACACAGGCCATTCGGTAAGTGATGTGGTCAGTATCACACAGACCATCTGGTAAGAGATGTGGTCAGTATCACACAGACTATCCGTTAAGTGATGTGGTCAGTATCACACAGGCCATCCGGTAAGTAATGTGGTCAGTATCACACAGGCCATCCGGTAAGTGATGTGGTAAGCATCACAAGGCCATCCGGTAAGTGATGGGGTCAGTATCACACAGGCCATCCGGTAAGTGATGGGGTCAGTATCACACACGATGCTCTACCAATGATGTGGTCAGTGTCACACAGGCCGTCTGGTAAGTGATGTGGTCAGAATAACAAAAGCCATTCGGTAAGTGATGTGGTCAGTGTCACACAGGCCAGGATGTAATTGATGTGGTCAGTCTTCTAAGGCGAGTAGGTAATTGATGTGGTCAGTATTACACAAGATGCCTTATCAATGATGTGGTCAGAATCACACAGGCCTTTCGGTAAGTGATGTGGTCAGTATCACACAGGCCATCTGGTAAGTGATGTGGTCAGTATCACACAGGCCATTTAGCAAGTAATGTGGTCAGTATCACACAGGCCATCCGGTAAGTGATGTGGTCAGTATCACAAGGCCATCCGGTAAGTGATGGGGTCAGTATCACACAAACCATCCGGTAAGTGATGTGGTCAGTGTCACACAGGCCAGGATGTAATTGATGTGGTCAGTCTTCTAAGGCCAGTATGTGATTGATGTGGTCAGTATCACACAAGATGCCCTATCAATGATGTGGTCAGAATCAGACAGGCCTTTCGGTAAGTGATGTGGTCAGTATCACAAGGTCATCCGGTAAGTGATGTGGTCAGTATCACACAGGTCATCCTGTAAGTGATGAGGTCAGTATCACACAGGTCATCCGGTAAGTGATGTGGTCAGTATCACAAGGTCATCCGGTAAGTGATGTAGTCAGTATCACACAGGTCATCCGGTAAGTGATGTCAGTATCACACAGGTCATCCGGTAAGTGATGTCAGAATCACACAGGTCATCCAAGTGATGTGGTCATTATCACATGTCATCCGGTAAGGGATTTGGTCAGTATCACATAGGCCAGGATGTAATTAATGTGGTCAATATTACACTAGCTACCATGTAAGTGATATGGTTAGTATCACACTGGTCACCTGTTATTGACGTGGTCAGTATCGCGCTGCTCACTTGTGATCACGCAGGTCATCTTGTGAATCATAAAGTGAGCGTCACACTGGTCACCTTGTGATTTATATGGTCAGTTTTACCCTGGTCACTATGTGATTCATGAAGTGTGTATCACACTGGTCACCTTGTGATTGATGTGATGAGCATCACGCTGGTGTCTTGGTGATTGTTATGCTCTGCATCACATATGATCAGTCACGCTAGTCACAATGAGATTTACCTGATCAGTATCACCTTGTGATTGATATGGTTAGTTTCACGCCAGTGAACTTATGATTGGTGAGGTTAGTATCACGCCGGTGACCCTGTTTTGGGGAGGTCAGTATAACGCCGATGAACTTGTGACCTTGAAATTTGTGTGGTATTACGTCGGTCACCTTGTGTTTCATAGGGTCAGTAACACGTTGGTCACCTTGTAATTGACGTGGCCAGTATCACCATGATGACCTATGTGTAATATGTCTGTACCACGTTGGCAACCCTACGAATCTTGTGGTCAGCAGTGCGATAAACAGTCTGTAGGCCATGGTGTCAATATCGCACGTGTCATGCTGCGAGTGGTGTGGACAAAATCTCTGTGCTGTCTTCAACGTCCATAAACATTTCTGCTGTCACTTTTGTGAGGCTGGGAGAAGACACAATCATGTGCTGAAGCAACTAACGTCTATAAAGAGGAGGTGTCGAACCAAAGACAGCTGAATCTGCAAACGATGAGTAGTATCTGCACCACGAGGACCCATAAGCACACACTGACATTGTTGCCCTTTCTCCTTCTCTTCGTGATCCTCGTCCTCCACCGCTCACTCCACCTCTACATCGCTGCCATAACGTTTCATAGAAGGACATCATTGCTGGCTAAAGACAACGAATAGATGGTCAAGCAAGTCACTTTGTAGGAGTTAGAGCATCCAACAAAGAAAGTGTAATTTACAATTGGTTCTGTGCCAACATTTTCTCTTGTGACCTGGATTCTGATTTCATATTTTGTGATCACTCCTGATGCTTTTTTGAGACATCTCATGTCTGTGATTACTACCTTTCTGTTGTGGTTTGATGTGAATGACGACGTTTGGCATAGCAGCATATAATAAAGGCGTTAGCTGTCCCAATACTATGTTCTCCTTACTGTATCCGATGTTATTTTTCTTCATCGATTTCCTAACTTCGTGAATGTTGTACCCAGATATTTAGAACCACATGCCTGTTTAATTAGTTTGCACTCTGGTGATATTTTTATGCAGCAGTCATGCTTTTAAATGTATCCATCCGGTTAAGTCAGTATAACATGATAACTGGGCTCACTTAAAAGAGTTAACTAAACTCAAGCAATATATTCCACAATATTAACTGAAGATTTAACAACGCGTTCCCAGACGTTCACGGCACATTCCCCGTGTGACAATGCATGCAGAGTGCAGTGGGTCACGTCGCAGAGACGTTCAGGATGTGTGAGCAGTGCTGTGGTGTCGTGAATCTGCAGGGCTCAGTCGACGGAGCATGCTGAGGTCAGTGAGTAGTTGTTCTGCGTTCACCTGACGCTGTCCTTGAGTTGACATGTGGTTGTTGCTGGGATGCTGTGCACAAGAAGACAATCAATGAAAATAACAATTAAAATTTAAAAAAAAAAGGATATCCTCGTTGTTTGCTGTCGTGCACAAATTTGTTGATTAAATTTACATTGTTTTATTGTGAGTTACTGAACAAAGAGACATTATTTAAGTAGCATAAAGACTTGTTATTTCACAAGTTATTTCGAGAATTGAGGTAGTTGCAAACGAACTGATAACAAGTGGTAACTGACAAACACACACATACACAAAACACCTACATAAGGGAGCTTAACAGAGGAAAAGAAAAGACGCTCCCAAATGTTCCCCCTCCCCTCTCCCCCCCAAGACTTGACCACAATTTGTTACCCACATGCATTATATACATTAATAAACCATATGTGAAGCCACGGTAATCATCAATTTCATCTGTTTAATCAAAAATCGTATCTGTAAGCCGAATCATGTCTATGAAAGAGAGAGAGAGAGGGGGGGGGGGGAGGGGGAAAAAAAAAAAAGGGGGGGGGGTGTAAAAATAATGCTGCAGCTGACTTTCTGAGCAGCGGATGTAAGCCAAGTCTGCTTCATTGAACTTCCCTAGTCATTGACGTGCCATCAGTACATCTGAACTGAACTAACAAGCTACACCATTCCCATAAATACTCCGTCTCTTGTCGTATACCTCCAGCGCTGAGTCCAGATACTCGGGCTACCAGTTGCAGCCTGATTCTATGTCCGTCAGTCAGCTCCTGTGAGTGTTGAGTCTCAGCCAGATCCTAAGCCCCCCCCCCCCCCCCACCTTCTTGCTTGCATCCTTCTCTCCAGATTATGTCAGTTCGATTTTCACCTTTCAGAAAGACCCAACAAATAGATAGGACCTCTCAACTTTGCATCCGTAGTCACCACTACATCTGTCACAACAACATCTAAAGTCACCACTACATCTATAGTCACCACTACATCGGTAGTCACCACTACATCTATAGTCACCACTACATCTATAGTCACCACTACATCTAGTCACCACTCATCTATAGTCACCACTACATCTATAGTCATCACTAAATCTATAGTCACCACTACATCTAGTCACCACTACATCTATAGTCACCACTACATCTATAGTCACCACTACATCTATAGTCACCACTACATATAGTCACCACAAAATCTAGTCACCACTACATCTATAGTCATCACTACATCTATAGTCACCACTACATCTAGTCACCACTACATCTAGTCACCACTACATCTATAGTCACCACTACATCTATAGTCATCACTACATCTATAGTCACCACTACATCTAGTCACCACTACATCTAGTCACCACTACATCTATAGTCACCACTACATCTATAGTCACCACTACATCTATAGTCACCACTACATCGGTAGTCACCACTACATCTATAGTCACCACTACATCTATAGTCACCACTACATCTAGTCACCACTACATCTATAGTCACCACTACATCTATAGTCACCACTACATCTATAGTCACCACTACATCGGTAGTCACCACTACATCTATAGTCACCACTACATCTATAGTCACCACTACATCTATAGTCACCACTACATCTAGTCACCACTACATCTAGTCACCACTACATGTATAGTCACCACTACATCTATAGTCATCACTACATCTATAGTCACCACTACATCTAGTCACCACTACATCTAGTCACCACTACATTTATAGTCACCACTACATCTATAGTCACCACTACATCTATAGTCACCACTACATCTATAGTCATCACTACATCTATAGTCACCACTACATCTATAGTCATCACTACATCTATAGTCACCACTACATCTATAGTCACCACTACATCTAGTCACCACTACATCTAGTCACCACTACATCTATAGTCACCACTACATCTATAGTCACCACTACATCTATAGTCACCACTACATCTATAGTCATCACTACATCTATAGTCACCACTACATCTAGTCACCACTACATCTATAGTCATCACTACATCTATAGTCACCACTACATCTATAGTCATCACTACATCTATAGTCACCACTACATCTATAGTCATCACTACATCTATAGTCACCACTACATCTATAGTCACCACTATATCTAGTCACCACTACATCTATAGTCACCACTACATATAGTCACCACTACATCTATAGTCATCACTACATCTATAGTCACCACTACATCTATAGTCATCACTACATCTATAGTCACCACTACATCTAGTCACCACTACATCTATAGTCACCACTACATCTATAGTCATCACTACATCTATAGTCACCACTACATCTGGTCACTTATGGGATAGTCGCATATGTTGCAACTTTCTCAGGTGGACATTTTGCTAAATTCTGTGAATGAGGTTTGTCTATTTTTCCGCTATGTGTCTATTATTTCCACTTTGCCAGAGCCTGTATGCTACCATCTACTTCGCCAATTGTAACCTCTAACAATTTTGCTAAAACATACCGTCGTGCTTCGCCGTGTGTATATTTAAATGAAGCCATATTTCGGGAGGAGGGTGGGGGTTGGGAGGGGCAACACTGCCCGGTTCGGAATCTATCCAAGCGTTGCACGATGTACTGGACCACTGGGGTATCAGCCACAGGGTTGCATTTTTTTTAAATAGAACAGTCAGTATTTATTTATTTATAGAACAATCAGCATTCATTTATAGAACAGTCAGTATTCATTTGAGCAAAATCTTAATTCCACATATCGATTACGTATTCACCACGCTGGTTACAACATTGTCTGTGCAGACATCCAAGCCGCCATGACAGCTGAACAAGCCCGCCCACCAACCCGGAAAAACCTCACAGCCCGCAACCAGCCAGGAATGATGTCCATCTCCAAATTGACTCCCACCCTACCCGATCCAGGCCGTCCCAGGCTATGGTCTGTAATTTTTAGGGCAGACCGAGATCCCCTCCTACACTCTGAAAGCAACAGCAACCTCAGGCGTAATATAACAACATAAACCTGACGCTAATTGGAAAACGAATTCCAAACAACTAAACACAGCCTTCGATATAACCACTGCTCATACTAGGGGCGGGTTGAAAGAAGCGCGAATTTTTTGTTTTTTTTTAACAACACCAAGTACCAATGGTATGCAGTTCCGTCCTTCTATGAAGTCCTCTCTTTCCAGCTAGTGTTTGCAGGTCTGTCTGTATTATCTCCCCACAGTTTTCTTGTCTGCGTCATGGTCTACGCCCATTTAACTCTCTTGTGTATACCGTTTTTAACCTCTCTGCCATTCTCTCATTTTGCCCCAGCCATATCAGTCTAATTGCCAACATGAAGTGATCTAAGTGATTTAAACAGGATATGAATTTCCCTGTTGCTTCTACAGTCCCCGCTGTTTGCATCTCTGATGGGTCTAAAGATCTGTCGTAAGATTATGTTTTTAGTCGTGCTCCATGTTTTAGAGCTAAATAACACAACTGGTCTTATCAGCATTTTAAATATTTTGATCTCGGTGTAATGAGACAGAGACTTCAATTTTAGCAGATGTTGTGGTGCATAGTATACTTTTTTTCCAAACTGTATTCTGGATTGTATTTCTTTTCTTCTCGTAAGTTGGAGCAGTGGAAGTTTGTACCCAAAAACGTATATGTTTCCGTTAGTTTCATTTTCTAAGCATCGATATATATGTAATCTTTCTCTGTCTTGTTATTACCACGTATTCTGTCTTATTTTGACTGATAACTAGCCCTATTTATTTTATTTATTTCTATTACGAGACTGTCTCTAGGTCATTTTCTCAGACGATGTAAATGTCTGATATATATATATATATATATATATATATATATATATATATATATATATATATATATATATATATATATATTTATGACACTGAGGGAGTTGAGAGGTCGTGAGCTTGTGTATGAGAATTTAGGTTGCGTGACTAGTGCAATATATAATTTGTGATTTTGCCCTGGGCAGAGAACTTAACAAGACGTTTTGTGATATGTGCTATAAGCTTTCGTACAACACTGCCAGCAAGCGTCTAACAACCGAGTTAACGCTCGACCTAACACTGTGTGTTTTCATATGGAAGAATCACTAACGTCTTTCCCCAACACGTAAAACAAAAACCCGAGAATCATACACATGTTCAACACTAAATTCTACAGATGTTGTTTCCATTGTTTTCCACAGCCCTGTAAGTTGTATAGCATACTAAGAGCCTTACATACCTGCTGTGGGCCAGGCGATGGCGACGACGATATATTGCCACACATCTGTGAAGGAGTCATAATTCCAAGTGTTGATGACCTACCCGACCCTAAGGTCAGCGCCATTGAAGAGGACATGCCAGAAAATTGGTCGGCCAAACTTCCTAGATTGTTGTTGTTGTTGTTGAGAAAATGGTGGTGTTGCTGCTGAAGGTGATGGTTAGTGGCTGATCAGAGATGAGTCCGTTAGAGAGTTGTTGATGCTGCCACTGTTAGCACTGTTGGGAACGCCATGGTGATGTGACAAGAGTGGCGAGTGTGAATGTATGATCGGTTTCCGGTCCTCTGCAAAGCAACACAACAAAATGCAGAATATTTTAGAGACTGGCTATAAATTTTACATTTGTTAGGACATGCTGTTTGAAAAAAAAAATATCTTAGTTTAATTCGCTAGAACAAAATTTTTATTTTAGATGTGAGGCTCATATAAGTCCAATGAGTGGATGTATGCATCAACAGCTGTCTGTGGTAATGTTATATGATGAAGAATTAACCTCTTCCACAGTAAGGCTTTCTCACAATTGCCTGAAACACACAAGAACGGACTTTTCCTAAACCATTCCGGTGTGTACCAAACGCCGGTATGTGGAGATTTGCTACATTCACCCCGGTGTAAAAGAAGCTGTTGTGGGAGAAGTCAGAGTTCCGTTTGTATGGTTGATTCTCATGATATTTGTACTTTCCTGTGACATTTTGAACCTAATGTTTGTGATCCGACAACAAGTATGTCTTAAACCTGAATTCATGAGTGGAATATGTGGGAAACATCATCACTTGGGGACCAGATCGTCAAGCATTTCTGATGATGCCCGCCGAATTCTACTCTTCCCTGTATGACGTCCGGGACCCCATTTGAAGGGGAAAGGTTCTTGACACATCTATTTAAAACATACTGACCAGAAGTCATCTTCACCACTATCTTCGTCCAATTCTGATCTTTATGGCTTTGGGATATCAGCAATGGATTCCAGTGCGGCACTTCGGGTCTCTTTCATGGCACGTTCCTCGTAGGGCTTTTCTTTGACATTCTTACTTTTTCACTCCGGTTTTCTTATTCTCATTCAACAGAATAGAATGGACTGAAGGGACGAACTGCGATCCATAAGTGACGTATTAACAGCGCAAAAGGATCCTGAATGGCGATAAATTACATTTCGTGTATTTATTCAGCAAAGTGCTCACCCAAATTGTGAAATATTTTGTGGAACAGTGAAGCAGATTGATGCGGGTTTGTGTGTGCTACACTGAAGCAGGTGCACGTTGTTGTGTAGTACATTTAAGCTGATTGATAAACTAACTATGTGGTAGACTGAAGCAGGTGCACGTTGTTGTGTAGTACATTTAAGCTGATTGATAAACTAACTATGTGGTAGACTGAAGCAGGTGCACGTTGTTGTGTAGTGCATTTAAGCTGATTGATAAACTAATTATGTGCTACACTGAAGCAGGTGCACGTTGTTGTGTAGTGCATTTAAGCTGATTGATAAACTAACTATGTGGTAGACTGAAGCAGGTGCACGTTGTTGTGTAGTACATTTAAGCTGATTGATAAACTAACTATGTGGTAGACTCAAGCAGGTGCACGTTGTTGTGTAGTGCATTTAAGCTGATTGATAAACTAACTATGTGGTAGACTGAAGCAGGTGCACGTTGTTGTGTAGTACATTTAAGCTGATTGATAAACTAACTATGTGGTAGACTGAAGCAGGTGCACGTTGTTGTGTAGTACATTTAAGCTGATTGATAAACTAACTATGTGGTAGACTGAAGCAGGTGCACGTTGTTGTGTAGTACATTTAAGCTGATTGATAAACTAACTATGTGGTAGACTGAAGGCAGGTGCACGTGTTTGTGTAGTACATTTAAGCTGATTGATAAACTAACTATGTGGTAGACTGAAGCAGGTGCACGTTGTTGTGTAGTACATTTAAGCAGATTGATAAACTAACTATGTGGTAGACTGAAGCAGGTGCACGTTGTTGTGTTGTACATTTAAGCTGATTGATAAACTAACTATGTGGTAGACTGAAGCAGGTGCACGTTGTTGTGTAGTGCATTTAAGCTGATTGATAAACTAACTATGTGGTAGACTGAAGCAGGTGCACGTTGTTGTGTAGTACATTTAAGCTGATTGATAAACTAACTATGTGGTAGACTGAAGTAGGTGCACGTTGTTGTGTAGTACATTTAAGCTGATTGATAAACTAACTATGGGGTAGACTGAAGTAGGTGCACGTTGTTGTGTAGTACATTTAAGCTGATTGATAAACTAACTATGTGGTAGACTGAAGCAGGTGCACGTTGTTGTGTAGTGCATTTAAGCTGATTGATAAACTAACTATGTGGTAGACTGAAGCAGGTGCACGTTGTTGTGTAGTGCATTTAAGCTGATTGATAAACTAACTATGTGGTAGACTGAAGTAGATGCACGTTGTTGTGTAGTACATTTAAGCTGATTGATAAACTAACTATGTGGTAGACTGAAGCAGGTGCACGTTGTTGTGTAGTACATTTAAGCTGATTGATAAACTAACTATGTGGTAGACTGGAGCAGATGCACGTTGTTGTGTAGTGCATTCAAGCAGATTGATAAACTAACTATGTGGTAGACTGAAGTAGGTGCACGTTGTTGTGTAGTACATTCAAGCAGATTGATAAACTAACTATGTGGTAGACTGGAGCAGATGCACGTTGTTGTGTAGTACATTCAAGCAGATTGATAAACTAACTATGTGGTAGACTGGAGCAGATGCACGTTGTTGTGTAGTGCATTCAAGCAGATTGATAAACTAACTATGTGGTAGACTGAAGCAGGTGCACGTTGTTGTGTAGTACACTCAAGCAGATTGATAAACTAACTATGTGGTAGACTGAAGCAGATGCACGTTGTTGTGTAGTACATTCAAGCAGATTGATAAACTATGTGGTAGACTGAAGCAGATGCACGTTGTTGTGTAGTACATTCAAGCAGATTGATAAACTATGTGGTAGACTGAAGCAGATGCACGTTGTTGTGTAGTACATTCAAGCAGATTGATAAACTATGTGGTAGACTGAAGCAGATGCACGTTGTTGTGTAGTACATTCAAGCAGATTGATAAACTATGTGGTAGACTGAAGCAGATGCACGTTGTTGTGGAGTACACTGAAGCAGACTGATACAGGTAACTGTGTGGTAGACTGAAGCAGATGCGCGTTGTTGTGAAGTACACTGAAGCAGACTGATATACGTAACTATGTGGTAGACTGAAGTAGATGCACGTTGTTGTGTAGTACACTGAAGCAGACTAATACACGTAACTATGTGGTAGACTGAAGCATATGCACGTTGTTGTATAGTACACTGAAGCAGACTGATACACGTAACTATGTGGTAGACTGAAGCAGATGCACGTTGTTGTATAGTACACTGAAGCAGACTGATACATGTTAGTGAGTGGTAGACTGAAGCAGGCCTATGCACGTAGCTGTCTAGTACTCAGAAACAGATTGATCCACATAATTGTGTGATACACTGAAACAGACCGTTGCACGTAGTTGTGTGGCACATTGAAGAGGATTGATGCAGGTGGCTGTATGATACTTTGAAGCAGACTGATGCACGTAATTATGTGCTACACTGAAGCAGACTTATGCACGTAGTTGTGTGGAACGCTGAAGCAGACTGAGGCAGCTTTAGTGTTTCGTGTTGTTGTTGCAAGATCTGTAGCTATAATTATTATCTCATTTATTTTGTTCAATATCTCTTTGACTCCTTTTAGCCATTGTTTCCTGGGTCGTCCTCTCGACCTGTAACCTGGCGGTATTAAGTAATATGTTAGCCCCAAAGGTTGATTAGGTTTTATTCTTGACGACCAAATCATTTGGCGCCCTTTATGATGTTTGCTTTACAGTACTCAAACTAACATCTACAAAACTTTAACTCTCGTTTGACGATGTTCAAACGATATACAACACGCACACGCACACTCACTCACACACACACACTCACTCACACACACTGATACGACTAATGACAGCGGAAGTACCCACACAACTTACCCAGGTATCCGTGATACAGTGGAACCGATTGCTGCATGTGTAGCTGTTGATGGTTATGATGATGGCTCAGAGGTGTGTCCCCCAACCCACCACCGCCGGCACTATTACCACCAACACCTCCACTGCTACTGTTGTTGTTGCTGCTGCTTTTGTCTGGAGAATGCGACTGTAAATTTGGTTTCCTGTCTTCTGACGTCACTAGGAAGAAATAAAAATGGATATATTGAAAGGCAAATTGATAACTTGACTATCACCTAATGGGTAGAATAAATTTGATATTATAAAGTTGAAGCCCCGAAGATCAACTTCATTTTACCGGGGTTTTGTCCCACAAGGTTCGGGCTCTTTCCGCAGAACGGCTGAGCCTACTTCTGGATGGGTGGCACAAAGCACGAACTGCGTAGCTCCAGCGAAAATTCACAAGGATCTTTATAAGATTGGACTCCTAAACAAAATCTTTGCCACTTTCACTTCCAAGGACTTTCAGAGCACAGGCAAAGTTTATTGCAAAAATGGAACCAGCAGTAACTCTGTGGCTAGATGTTTGTCTGTCGACCAGGAGGTCTTGTATTCGAATCTGCATTAGGGTGGAGTTACATTAGTGAACTAGGATTGCAGGTCATTTCAGATTCAAGTGAGTACTAGGAAATATCCTTGTTTACTACATGTTCATCAGCCACTGAATGTTGATTGGTCTATGTATTTAATGCCTGATGCACCAATGTCGTGGCAAGACGTGTTTACTTTTACTTGTAGGTGATACTGCTAAGCAGCCAGGAGACAGATTGTTATTTTGTTTGTCAATTATCGGATTCGTCAGCCGATGTCACAGCGCTCTGAACATATCCATGTGTCCCCGGTTTCCCCTTCCGATGTCAATCTTTTTACCACAAGGGACAGTGGCGGACTGTGTGGTTTACCTTGGCCCAGGAACGGGGCAACTATGAGATAACCCGTTAGCTGTGAAGTTAGAACTGTGATTACCTAGTTCCATAATTACTTGTACTATCAATAAATGCTTAGCAACGCTGGGTGTGACCTGTAACCTTTACCCTGTACTATTTATATCATTCTTACCCGAGGGGTCATATGGTTTGCTGGAGCTTTTCTTGCTACTGGATGAACCCTTGGGTTTTCTCTTCCTGGTCTGAATGCCGTCCTTTCTCATGGACAGCGGTCTGTTGACCTGGTGAATGAAGAAACAAATGGGTAACATTTAGGCACTGACCTGTCTAAAATAGAAGATGTAGAGAAAAGTTTAAAGATCTAGATTCCAATTGACATGCAAGCTGCCTGTAGATAGCATCGCATCAGGCACTAACTCGTGGTTCCAACGATGATCCTCAGGGGCCTTCACAAAATAATGCACTCTTGAACCAAATAAAACAGACAGTGGTGAGATAAGCAATGTAACATATAGCCCAAAAACAGTGTAACAGCAGTGTCATACTGTAACAGCAAACAAATTCAGTAAGTAAAAAAGTAAAGTTCCCTTTTCACGCCTTTCGGCGCATCGGGCATATGGGCAGAGCGTCCCATATTTTTACAGACCATCAGCACTCTGTGGGTAATGTGGTCAGCATTACACCGGCTGTCTTTACTTTCCCAGGACAGCCATTTTAGACTGGGTCGACCTGCGACGTCCCATACCACGACAAAAATCCACGCAGCCTGCAGTGGGTTTCGATCGCGGTATGCTGGCTTACGAGTCGGACTCGAACGAACGAACGAACGAACGAACGAACTTTATTTTCAAAGGGTCGCAACGCCTTAGCCACGGACGCCGCAAACAAATTCAGTATTTCAGTCAAATGGTTTCGTGTTTTGTTCTTCATTATGTTTTGAAATTACATTATTGTAAGTACACGACGAGACCCAGCGAGGTATGCTAAGATTTAATTGTGCAGTAAACTGTTTTTTATCGCCATTATTTAAAGTCCAAAACTGGAAAGCCTTGCTTTGAAAAACAGACTGCTTACCCCATGTAATTTGTAATACAGTCCACATGCGTTGCAGACGGGCTCGCCCTCACTGTTCCTCCTCCACAGTGTTGTAGTGGAGGTGCGACAGTTAGCACATATCATCCCCATGCGTCGGGTGGACGATACCTGGGAAAAGTCAATCTATCAATAAATAAATAAATATTCATGTAACCCTTTGCAATCAATTACAAAATTATATAATGTCAACAGAATAGAACAATTAATGATATATTCCTAATTTAGACAATAGACTGATCTAAATAATCCTAGAGAGTCTTCTTCTTTAACTTGTTACTTTCTAGACGGATCCAGGCCATCAACAAACGTAGGTCACGTCATCCTATCCTTAGGGGTCATGTAGAACCCTTATTTTCAACATTTTACCTGCTTGGTAGAATTTGATGCTAGCTGTTTTGCTTTCCACCAAAGCTCCAGTAATATACGAACACAAAACGTGCGTGTTCTTTTGAATTTGAAAGTAAATCTTCTAACGGACATTTTTCGTACAATCGGTCATTTGACATGAAGTCACTAACATAAGTAAAATAAGGCCGCATCGGGTCTTTGATATTAGATCATTCAGCTATCGATGGGTCATATAGTCAACATCATGTTGACTCCTTTTACTTCCCAGGACATTGCCTGACACCTATGTTTAGCTGAGTCCATAGGAAACCAACAGATTTTCCCTAACAAATCCACCAGGTGCTGACTGGAACCCAAGCCCTTCCGGTCTGCAGCCGAGCGTTTAACCACAACTCTACTATGGGGTCCCACATAATTGAAAAGACTCGTATTGTTATAAGTTTTTTTTTTTTCAAACTCCGCTCTGGCTGTGTTGTGGGCCTATGTGAGATCCTCACTAGTTCCTGGTCTTCTCTTAGTAGCAGTGCATTCATTATTATCGAAAACTCACGTGTTATTCTCCTGGGAGCTGCCGTTGTGTAACGGCTAGACGCATGTGGATCTAAATATCGAGTGTTCAAATTCGACAGAAGCCGGATTTTTTTTTTTAAATAAAAAATTACCTTGGCTTAAATGTGACTCAGCTTTAAATTAGTACCATTTATATCCTTGGAAGCAAAGGCGACCGGCATGATGCTGAATACATCCCCCCTCCCGAGTGCTGATTAGTCTTTAGAATATAGATTTAGAACTATATGCCCAGTATGCCTCTGAAGGCATGTAACAAAGGTTCTTTACTTTTTACCTTATTACTTGGACCCACACAGTGTATCTAGAAAACACCCACTGTCACACATGGCGACACCCTATTACTTGGACCCACACAGTGTATCTAGAAAAAAAAAACCACTGTCACACATGGCGACACCCTATTACTTGGACCCACACAGTGTATCTAGAAAACACCCACTGTCACACATGGCGACACCCTATTACTTGGACCCACACAGTGTATCTAGAAAACACCCACTGTCACACATGGCGACACCCTATTACTTAGACCCACACAGTGTATCTAGAAAAAAAACCACTGTCACACATGGCGACACCCTATTACTTGGACCCACACAGTGTATCTAGAAAAAAAAACCACTGTCACACATGGCGACACCCTATTACTTGGACCCACACAGTGTATCTAGAAAAAAAACCACTGTCACACATGGCGACACCCTATTACTTGGACCCACATAGTGTATCTAGAAAAAAAACTTAGTGTCACACATGGCGACACCCTATTACTTGGACCCACACAGTGTATCTAGAAAAAAAACACTGTCACACATGGCGACACCCTATTACTTGGACCCACACAGTGTATCTAGAAAAAAAAAAACACTGTCACACATGGCGACACCCTATTACTTGGACCCACACAGTGTATCTAGAAAAAAAAAACACTGTCACACATGGCGACACCCTATTACTTGGACCCACACAGTGTATCTAGAAAACACTCACTGTCACACATGGCAACACTCTATTACTTGGACCCACACAGTGTATCTAGAAAAAAAAAACCACTGTCACACATGGCGACACATTATTACTTGGACCCACACAGTGTATCTAGAAAGTCTACAGATATTTACTACAGATACCCCCATTGACAAGAACAACAAAAATAATATGTTGAACACACAATATCGTACACTGCAATTTTTTTGGAAGTCAACGTGGAATTCAAAGGTGAAACTGAAAGATCAGAACTATAATAGGAAGATAACATCAAAAGATGAACTGGAAAGAAGCAGATAGATAATAGACAGGTAGTATTCAATATCAGTTGTTGTTAACATTGGGTGTGGAGATATCATGTGGTCTAAGTTACTGAAAGCACAGATCAGATAACAAAAAGACAAGCCTGCCTTGTTGGATCTAATCTTGTTGTGGGTTGTATATGCTTTATTGCCAGCTGTCTGTGTGTACACACACACACAGACACACACACACACACACACACACACACACACACACACACATATATATATATATATAAAAGATGTTTAGGTGTACATGTGTGTGGGCTAGTCATCGAAAGAGCTTGAAGGCATTGCTCTAGGTAAATTTGGGGAGCAGTTTAACTTCATGAGAATCAGCAGAATATATCGACAGATACTGACACATAAGGCAAAAATTGGATAACATGGGTTACAGAAGCCGCAACAGACAAATGTAGGATTTTTTTAGTAAGACGGTATGACGCTCAAAAGCATATCATTCATTCAGTAGCATGTCCCTCGCGGAACCTCGCTGCCATAACAACCCTCCGGAAAACCTTCCTATCCTGAGCAAGATGTCCTGCGTCTGATACACCCATCTGGAGATCATCTGCCACATCCTGCACCCATCTTCTCCTTGGCCTTCCTCTTCCTCTCTTCCCAGGCATATACCCCTCCATTATTGTTCTCTCTAGCCTTCCATGACGTTTCAAAGTGACCAAATATTTTCAATTTTCTTTGTTTTATGTCTCTTTACTAGCCAACCCTCTTCAATATTCAGCTCTTGAAGTAGGATGCATTTGTTCTTTCTTTTACCCAAGATATTCTTAGAACCTGTCTGTAAACATTTATATTCAAAGCATTTATGCGCTGTTCCGCTTGTTTAGTAAGTGTCCAGGTCTCACAGGCGTATGTTGCAATGGGAAAGATGCATGCTCTTAAAAATCTGACCTTTGTAATTCTATCTGTACAATTCCATAATTTATTCAGTTGTTTTAGTCTTTGAAGAGCAATTGATAGTCGCCGTTTAATTTCTTTCATTGTGTCACCATTGTTGGTAACCAGTGACCCAAGATATTCGAAATTTTCCACCACTTCCAAAGCATATACCTGGACTTTTATTGTAAACTTCACTTCTCTTCACTGTTTTTAAGTAATTTTGTGGTTGTTGGTAATGCTGTTGTTGTTGTGTTTTGTTGTAAATTAGTATATAATTAGAACGTACCCCAATCATTCCTCGCCTATGAGGTTTCACCAATGGCCGGTTTAAGCCATTCATCTTGTGATAGAGTCCGCAGGCATTGCACAAATAGTGGCCCGTTCCGTCCCTCCTCCACAGGGGCGTAGCCACGGCACCACAGTTGACACACTCACGTCCTTCGGGATCCACCCAGCATTCTTGTCCATCTTAAGGTGTAAGAAAAACCATAATAATGTGCCATTAATAATCAGTTATTATGTGACAACTCAATATACAACCCTACTTTTCTTTCCCGGACATTTCCTAGGAGCTGAGGTCAAATTCTACAAATCTATTTTTTTAAAAAGAGATTTGATTGGACAAATGCGCTGGTAGAAAATAGCCAACGTCTGGCGCTAACCGGATTATGCAGCAAGGGAATGAAGCTGCAAAGCAAGTCTATACTAACTTTAAGAATTTTAAAAAATCTTGGCTTTACTGCCTTTATGTAGACTTCTCAGGCCAGCGACAGACAGATAGGTATTGAGATTAAGGATATAAGGCCGCAGGACTGGCGAAGTTGCCACGAACAAAGTGGATTGGCATTTTATTGTTTGCCCTTTAGAGAATGAAGAAACAATGACCTTACGGAAGATTCGAACCCGGTCCCAACAATGGGCTCGGCAATAAAGGAAGCCTTATAAACAACTTTTCACGGAAAGAGTCAGTAAAAGTACCTCCAAGATGGCTGCTACATCGGAGGGGCATAGAATAAAACTGGGAATATCTCATGTTTAGTGACTTCAATAAGAAAACATAAAATGTAGTCGAGTGAAAAAGAATACAATGAGGAATTTGAGTATTGCATTAGCTCGTCCTATGTTCTGGAGCAGTGCTCCTCAACTGGCAATTCGCGGGCCTACTCTGGCCCGCGAAGACATAATAAGTGGCTTGTGGATTATTGTCATCCGTTCTGTATTGGCAATCTTGCTATCCTGGGGTCCGGGTCTCAGACCTACGATGATCCCCATTATGAACATTTCGTCCGCTGAGTAATTGAGGATTAGTTTTGACAAGAGCATATGAGGTAAGATGTCCACTGATCTCCCTTGTCGCCTGATCTTTCCAGATAGTTTTTAAATCCTAGAATTTACATTTTTATGAATCTTGGTCCACAACAGAACAGTAAAAAATGGGGTGGAGGGGGGAGGGGGTAAGGCTTCCCTGTGACATAGGGATTCAAGTAGAATGGAAACCATTGTTTCGGTAGGCAAACCAACTGACCACTATGCCACCACCGGTAACAAGCTATGGTGGCTGTTACTAGAACTACCAGATATCAAGTCGATATACTTGGTGGCGTAGTCGGCAAGGGCTGTGTGTTCAAAACTCCAAGTAACAGACAATGTAAAGGGCACTGCTTATGCCACGAAGCGCACTGGGTAATTCATAAAGTGAAAATAATACATTATTCCATAAGGTGTGTTGGGCAATTAACATGTGAAAATCACCGTTTTTCAAACCACGAGGTTATTGGAAAATTAAAACTTAAAAAAAAAAAAAAAAATCATTACTCGCAATGAGATCATCTGGCAATTTAAAAAAAAAAAAAAATCATCGCTGTAGGGCAATTAAAAAAAAAGTGAAAATACCTTATCAGGTGATTTGGCAAAAGGGTAATTAGGAAGTGGGAAAAAAAGGCATATTTTTGCACCTTATAAGCGGTTTTTGCAAAGTCTCATTGCGTGAGGGAGAAGTTTTCCTTATATTCTCAGGTATTGGCATGGTGTTAATAAAGGTTTTTTTTTTTCAGAAAGTGTTAATTTAACAGTTAAAATTAAACAGTTTTCGTGCCACATGATCATCATCATCATCATCATCATCATCAGCATCATCATCATATGCCTTGCCGACTGGCGTGGGCGATCATGCTTCTCCACAATCTGCGATTTACAACTGGTGTGTATCAGTACGTGTGTTGACACCCCTCCATGACATGACGAAAGGGTATCATGAATTTTCACGAGCTGTCCTTCTCTGTCTCTCTGTCCACAAATCTTTCCAGTAGTGACAACATGTTCCATTTTCCCTCTTCACATAACATGACCAAACTATGATGACTGTCTCTGTCTGATGCTTGTGATAAATTGTTTTCGAGCGCCTGCCTCTTTCAAAAGAATTGGGTTGCTCTTCTTAGCTGTTCAATGACTGCTAAGGATTTTTCTGGAAACCCTCATCTTTGACGCCTCCAGATTTTGTTCGGCTCGGGTTACTAATTCTCCAGGATTAACAGTCGTATGTTAAAACCGGCTCTTGATAGCTTGCGAGAATTCTTGTCCTACCCTCCAATGACATGGATTTATTGCACTAAATGTTCTCATTTCTTTAAAAGCCAGTTTCGCCCTGTCTTGTTCGGCTAAGTGATACGTTTCACAATTACGATATTAAAATATTGTCACGTTCTGAAAAGTATAAAATCAAAACGTTCGGAAGTGTCTGTACATATCTTTTTTATTTTTTTTTTCTCCGTAGGGCATTCTAGTCTGCTTGTATGTGCTTTCTTCTTGGCAAGACGGTTATATAACCCGATTACAACCGGCGACATTAGTACTGGAACTCTGCGCTGGCTGCTGAAGATGAGGACTGAGCACGCATGAAAAGCCCCGAGTGCTGTGATGTCAGTTTTTTATATCAATTCCGACTGCAGTTACCACACCCTACCCCCACCCCCACCAGTTTTTTTTTTTAAAGGCATAACTTGTAATGTCCCAACAGCCCATATGGGTGCTAGGACCCCATTTTTGTAGGAAAACAGAATCGAACTACTGACTCTCAACAAAACAAAACAAAAGTTGGCTGCATGTCCTGTATCGGACGTTGCAGAACCGGCACCTGTGTTGTTTGGCTGTTTGTGAATTCACAATGCATTTGTTAGGTTTAGTGGTTTGCTATTGCTTACTAAACGGTCGGCTCACGATGCCACTGTTGATAGTCACACAAAGCGGTCTGCTACCTATTTACCTGCCGCTGAGATCAAACCCTGTCCACGTAATTGCGAAGCGCGTTCGCAACACCAATGCTTAAGCCGTCGATGTTGTAAAACCGGCGATTAACGAAGATTGTTCTGAAGTCAGAGGCTTTTGGCTAACAGACGCAGATAACGCCTCCTTATGTAAGCGTCAACACAATGTGCCAATTGACCTTTTATCAGATCGCTCACAGAAGAGGAAGATCGTATTACTTGCGTATTCAAGTAAACATAGTTTCTAAAACGGCTACTCAGCATTAAACATAAGGCTGCCATTACCAAACAGCAGTTTCTATATCTGTACAAAGAAAAAACTAGTTCAAAGAAAAGCAAGCACTCTTGTGTAATGCAGGGTCATTAATTGAACATATCTCCCCATTACTGCAACATAATACTGTATTAGCTTAATATCAAATACTGATGTTATCTCCACGGATAACGGTTATGGGCCTCCTGTATCACTGTGCACCCGAGAAGTATCCATTCAACTGATGAACTATCAGTGAAAGCAAGAGGCAGAGAAAGAAAAACACAGAGAGAGAGAGAGAGAGAGAGAGAGAGAGAGAGAGAGAGAGAGAGAGTGTGTGTGTGTGTGTGTGTGTGTGATAGAGAGAGGAAGAGCTGGAGGTAGCAACGATAGACACATAGGAAAGTTGACATAGCAAAGCATGTATTTTACAAAGATCGTATGTGAGATTGCATGCCTGCTGGAAGAAATCGCGTGTCGGAAATAAGACAGGGATATCGTGTAGGTAAATGGAGATGTTGCAGATAGTCAATAGAGACTAAATGTACATATATCGAACTACATGCGTGAGAGATCACCGCCAAGAAAATCCTGTAATATTCTGACCAGGTGATGACCATTTTTATTATTATTATTTTTATTTAACAGCATTAAAAGCGCATATGTTAAATAACCAGCAAACAAATGAAATTTACAACTGTGAAAGTATGCATCTAAACTGTGCAACATACGGATATTCTTCTTCTTCTTCTTCGCGTTCACCAGCTGTAAACTCTGGCGGATATGAATCGTGAACTGTCATAAAGTCATTAAGGAAGAAAGTAAGGGCTTCTAAACTGAAAAGCAATAGAAAATTTCTCAGAATAACCATGAACATCATCATCATGTAGCCGGTTCCTTTGCAGAACGTCGCTCTCATCACGGTCTGCCTGAAAGAAACTCGGTCTCTCGCCAGCTCTCCCGTCTCATGTACTTTCATACTCAAGGAGTCACTTATATCCTGTGCCCATCTTCATGTTGGTCGGCCCCTGCCCCACCGTGCCTTCTGCTATTATTTTTTTCCAATCCGTTGTGACGCTTGATATGACCAAATTTTATCAGCTTTAGAGACAGGATGCTGTTTATTAGCTAATCTTTCTTGATGTTCAGATCTTTCAAGAAGTCAGTATTTCTTCTCTTCTTTGTCCAATATATTGTGAGAATCTTTCTATAGCATTTCTGCTCCAAAGCCCCAATTCTCTTTCTTAAGGACTGTGAGATAGTCCACGACTCACATCCGTATGTAGCCACAGGGAAGATGCATGCTCTCAAAATTCTAATTTTGATCTCCTTGCTGTTGCTTAACCATAGACTTTTAATGATGTTCAATCTTTGCATTGCTTTGGCCATCCTTCTTTTAATTTATATCAGTCTCTATTGCCATTTATTATAGAGTCTAGATATTCAAAGTTCGTGAAACTGTCAATGTCTTCATCATTTATTGTTATTTTTGTGTGACAGCCTGTTTTATATGTGGCCATTATTTTTGTTTTCTTTAAATTTAAGAACAGATTTTGATCTTCACTGTGTTTTTGGAGAGACAATATTAAATTTTATATTTTCTTTACTCTGTTCGAAAGGAGGACCGTGTCTTATGCGTAGCGACTTTCCGGAATAGGGTTACTACCAATTTTGACCGGATCATGACTGTCACAAATCTAGGTCTACCGTACACCCTGTGCAGTTTAACAATTTTCTAATTTTTTCCTGACCAAATTTACCTCTCAGTCGCAAATTAAACCTGTTTTGCCCCGACCTCCCCCACCCCTCCCCACCCCCATCCAATCACCCGGACTTCAGTGCAGTTTCTTCCATCTGAACAATGGGACTTGTATTTAAAAAAAAAAAAAAACAGGCTTTACCATATAACCCTAATTTAACACTACATCTATTTTGTAACTAAACTTTCTTCA